AGATTTATGACATTTGTTTTACGAGGAAAATATTTTACCCCCTACTTCAGTGATATATGATTGTTTATTTTATTGGGTTGTAAAGATCTCAAATTAATCATAACAATATTTTTGAAGATTTGAATTATATATCACCAACTCACGTCACACTGAATAAAATTCCAAAACTTCATACAATAAACCCGAGGCCCCATATGTTACAGGCTCTGCACGTAAGTCGACGGTTGGAAATTTCGTCGCACGTTCCACGACGTTGCATAAGCAGAATAGAAGAACGTAAAAGTAAATTATATGCCCACAATGTCATTAAACGTGTCCATACCAGAAATTCTGAAAATCAAAATAATTATGATTTAGTTTTTAACGAAATATTCATATTAATATTTGTTTTTCATGGTGATCAAGTTCAATTTCAGCTAATGCCATCATATTTCAGAATGACAATTCGACAAACGCTGCCTTCGTTTGCTAATAATGCAAAGTTTTCTGAAAATGAACTTAAAAGCACATTTTAGACGGTAGAGGTTAGAAAAGAGGCGCCAAGGGGCGATGGGAAAGGAAGGTTTTGGTACAAAGTTCTTCATTGTATTTCGGTTATACCTATAATTGCTTTTCATGGAAAAAACGTCTAGTCGTTCGGATGGAACAATTAACCAAGGCCCCTTGTGTTACAAGCTGTACATATTATAGATCCATTGACAGTTGGAAAACCAAAAAGAGCAGGCTGGCGAAATTTTCTCATTGCATCCTGCTTTGCCCGTCTTCATTAGCCCACATGGTGCAGAAAAGTAAGACGTAAAACTCCATTCATTTCATTTATAATTGCTTTTTCGACAGATTAAGTTTTTTAATATTAAAAATTCTTGGATATTGCAGTAATATTGATTTTAATATGAAATTTTGGTTCTTTTTTATGTGATTAATTTAGCTTTAGCAGAAGTGAAGAAAGGAGCCATCAACGGATTTTTCTTATCAAAGAGATAATCCTATTTAGTACATGTAATGTGATTTTTTTTTAAAAATATTTCGTCTATAGCAAAATCAAAAAGGTAGGCCCATAACCGTGAGAATCTTCATTTAGTAAATAGACCAGAATCTAAATTAAAAACTACTCAGCAAATACAGATGTCGATTTCAAGATTTAAAGGGATTGTAAAGAAGTATTTTTATGTCGATAGTGACTATACATACGTCATTTTCGCCTTTGCATCGATCTTCTTGCTGACACTAAAAAGGGAGATTAAATACCAACCGCATTGTTACGATTCCAGTACTAACCTCGACAAGTTATATAAAGTGTTAATGTCGCGTAAGCATTCTCTGCTTTCGAAGCGAATTACATCTTCTGATTCATCCAGGAATCGGATTTAGAAGTATAGGCCTATAGATTGGTGTTTCAAATTACATTGCTTGTAATCCCTAATGAACGAATGTTAGGAAGGACTAAGCATGTCAAATCGCAGAGTGGCAGTAGGTGTGTAAGTAAGAGCGATCAGAATATTCCTGGTATGCTAACTATATTATTGTACAGGAACTCAAACCACCTCTTTAAGTTTCATTTGAATGAATTATTGAAAGTATAGTTGTTGAAAAAGGAGATATACATACAACATATAACTCGATGAGATACAGCAGAGAACTCGGTGAGAACTCGTATACACCTGTTGTACACAGATCTAGATTGTATCTTCTTTCATCATACCACAGTTTTATATGACTATTATGTAATCATAATATTTAAACAAAATATTTAACAAAGAAGAGTTTTTCAACTGGTAGTATAGTTGGACCACCCATTTTGATACACAATGTCGTCCGATTACAGAAAACAGGGACATTGGTGGTTTACAGAGTTTCTCTCCTGTTTTCACTTGGATGAAATACAGCAACGGATAGAAACTGGGATTTGGCTTCGACTGAAAGATCCTGGTATCTGCGAGTTCTTGTCGGCAAAAGCGGCTGAAATCTGAGACCATGTATTTAGTCAATCGAAGGTATTTCGCTGTTATTCTGAGATAGGCCTAGGATACTGGTGAATCGCTTGCTGAAAAAGCGTCTGCCAGTTTGCTCAAGGCTAAGCTTTTGTTCCCGAGCGAAAAACTCCAAGAGATTCTCACACTGTTGCTCATATGGGTACAATTACTAGGGAGATTCAAAATGGGAACCGCTTCTCCCGCCTTCACAAAGTCCAACTATCACGAACTGCGTCTAATACTGACATTGTGAAGATGCGATTTGCCAAGCCCTATACATCCAGATGGATTCACTAAAACCGAGAAGAAATGGTGAACCCCCGAACCCAGACAGTTGGAAAATCATTCTTTTTCAGTAATCCTTCCTGTGATTACCAAAACCTCTTCCCTTCAGTAGCTGTGGTTATAGAGCCTTGAATTTTTTAAACGACGATGCAAGGGAAATAACTATCTTATCTCATCAATATTCTTGAATTCCATTCTACTTTTTGCTTATTTTTTAAGTTAATATAGGCCTTACTACATATCTACGTCTTCGTTTTGAGTATTTTTTTTAGTTAGCTTGTTCTAAAAACGTTACGACATTTTTTCAAGACAGACTTTTTCAAGACAGACTGTTCAGCTAAGATTACTTTAAATAAGATCTTTGTGATAATATTGAGATATTAGGCCTGGGGAAATGATACAATTAAAGGGAAGCTACTTGTCAGACTACAATTACGCGATTGCAGAGTCAATATATTTTCTATAAAAGCACCTTCAAACCAATTTTCCAAATATTATATCAATATTTAGTTGTAGGTTACGTCTCCTCTGCACTGAATTGAACTAATGAGAAAAATACAAAAAAATTTACTTGGTGTCGGACCATGCAAACCCACCATTTTCTCTTCTTTTTTGTAGGTCTGTCATCTTGTAGAGTTTACATGCCTCATCTTCCAGAACTTAATTCGCAGAAATAACAAAAGTTGCATCCTCAACATTTAATCTGGCAACACTGCCTTGTAAATTCTGGCAAATCAGCATAAAGTAAAACACGAATTGTCTCCCCTTAATTACAAACTAAAAATAAAATTGATGTTTACAAACACGTAGAAGATTTTGCATCTCATAATTCGTGTAACTATTTGAAATGTTTTAATTTGTTGCCGAAAACTAGATTTAAATGTAAGTTGCTTTACAGTCAATAGCAGTAGACCTATAGGTATGTGTACAGAAGATTCAAATGCTTTATTGAGAATTCAGTCTGCCAAATGAAACTGAACTCGACGTCAGTCAGAGTCAAAGAGCATTCACTGCTCAGTCTCACTCTGTCAAGATTCAACTGTTCTAATCCTTTGCTGTAGTTGCTAATTTCCATTTTTCAGGGTGTACCGGTATCTTATTTTCCTAGCCAACCCTACCCTCTCCTAAATATGCTACCATACATAAACTCTCCCTAAGTGGGAATTTGGGAAAAGATAGCTGAATACTTTTTAATGTTAGTATTCATTGATTCTTTATTTTCTTTTCTTTTTTTTTTTCAGATGTATACATTGTTATCAGGTCTATGGAAATATTTGTTTCAAAAAGAACAGTATTTTGTCTTGATCCTTGGTTTAGACAATGCTGGTAAAACTGTAAGTACCTGTACTGTAGTTTTATTTGGATATTGATAATCCTTAGCTTCAGTATGTACTGTTGCTAGACTTTAAAAGGGATTGTAAGGGACACTGACTGACACTGACACTTCCAATTTTCATTCAAACATTGGTGGGTCACAAACTAAGTGTTTGTATCTATATCAAAGGTCCTAAGATATTATTAGTGGCCTGTGTAATTAGTGAATCATATATGGTTAAGCATTCCAACAATTACAAGAACCACAGACAAAGAAGCTGTAAATAACACCTATACTCATAAAAAAGAGAAAACCCCTTAACAATGTGGCCCTGCTGTTGAAAATGCTCACAATTCCTTCCAAAAATCAAGGCAAAAAGTTCCCATGAAATATGATATTTTTGTGGTCTTTTACTAATTTGAGTTGAATATATTTTTTCTTGTAATCTCTCCAGAAGTAATAATCTATGAATAATCTTCAGTAAAACATATTCTGTTTGAATTTCATGTTGAAATCCATAGTCTCTACTTGTGACCTAGGCTTCTAGTGCTTCAGTGCTTCTATAAGAGAGTGTCTTCTATAACACATAACTAACCAGGTAATTTGTGTTTATTTTTTGCAGACATATTTAGAACAAACCAAAACTAAGTTTAACAAGAATTATAAAGGAATGAACATAAGTAAAATAACAAGTACTGTTGGCCTTAATAGTAAGTAATATGTTGCTTTATTCTGCTTTTGTTTACATTTTTTCTTGTTCAGTTTACTAATTCAAAGGATAAAAAAAAGCATACTTATTCCACCCTTCAATAGAATGGCATGGAAAATTTCCACCCTATCAAAATAAGCCATATATTTAAAAGGAGAGATAGGCTATTTTTTTTCATCAATCATACTTTAATCTCAGAGAAACAGGAATTTTTTAGCTAAGACAATCAGTAAAAGTGTTCAAAGCTCACTGTCGAAATTTTAGCCTTCAATTCCATGTATGTCTAAAATTATCCACGATTGAATGTTAAAATGACGACTCGTCAATTTAAGATACTCTGTGATATATAGAAAAGATATTTATAGAAATGGAGAGTAAAATTTCTAGTTTGAAGTATTTTAAAGGAATTATGCGATTTTCGTACATTTGTAGTACTTCTGAAGACTAAAATCAACCCCCCAAAATGGCACATCTGTCTCTAAAATAACTACACTTGTTGGCCTAATGATGATATGGTTTGTCAGGCACTGTGATATGACCAATTTGTTAGGTTGGCATGGGGCATTTTGAAAGTTATTGTAATGGGTATAGTCAAATAAATATGTTTTATATTGTAGTTGGTAAGATAGATATTGGTAATATGAGATTAAATTTCTGGGATTTAGGAGGCCAAGAAGAATTACAATCCTTATGGGATAAGGTATGTGTCAAATTACAATCATTATGGGATAAGGTATGGGTCAAATTACAATCTTTATGCGATAAGATATGTGTCAAATTACAATTATTATGGGATAAGGTATGGGTCAAATTACAATCATTATGGGATAAGGTATGTGTCAAATTACAATCATTATTGGATGAAATTTAGACCTTTTTTGAAACATAATTTCAAATTGCATTCAAAGGGCATGGTCATAATCCAGCATGAATGGGACCTATTTGTGATTTTGCATGCCATTTAAACAACCTGGGTTTTTATTTTGTAGTACTATGCTGAATCCCATGCTGTTATCTATATAGTAGACACATCTGATAAAGAAAGATTAGATGAATCTAAAATAGCTTTCGGTGAGTAGAATTGGTTATTTGGTTATGCATTCTCTGTTTTTATGTCATATCTGAATTATTTTTTTTTTCAAATATGGTTTTTCTCCATTGTCCAAAAAATTATGATTACATTTAGTTAAAAATTTGTCATTTAAATTTCAGATAGAATGTTAAAGAATGACTCATTAAATGGTGTTCCACTGCTGTTAGTAGGCAATAAACAAGATTTAGATGTAAGTGTTTAACAGTTTCATTTCCAGGGGAATATTACATAATACTCATGGCAATAGAAAAGATAGAAGATCAAAGAATAACCATTTTTTACAAGTATAACAACTTAGTTCCACATGTCTTGGCATTGATTTTTCTGGGATTCTTTGAACCCATTTTCTGGGTGGACTGGAATAATGAGGGAAGATAGTGACTCACCAAATGATATCATGTATTGAATCCAATTTCAACACTGTAACTGATTGTTCTACAACCCCAGTCTGGGATCACTCCTGCATTCAAACCCGGAGGTGCTTAGTAAGTTATGTTCTTACAATTTACTCTAAATATTCTGACGAAGGACTGACAAATAATATTATGTTACTCATTTGATAATTTTTTTTTTTATGTATTTTAGGGGTGTATTACAATTGGTACCATGAAAGAATTATTTACTCCAGTTAAAGATTTACTCGGTTCCAGAGATTCACATATTTTAGGCGCCTCAGCATTAAAAGGGTAAGAATTTGGTTTCAGACTAATATACAATTTCACTTTGTTTTCTGTTGAATTATTTTTCACTTATTACTAATTTCTGCACCATTTCAAGTTTTGATTAAAAAATCATAAAATGACAGTTTTTTCAACAAGATATAAAAGATTGCAGTTCAGTTTTGATATAAATATAATGCTATATCATGATAAAGTAACATTATAAAAAACTGTGATTTAATCCTGTAATAGCAATCATCCATGGAAGCTCCAAAGGTTGGGTTGGAAATATGCATTATTTAAGCCCTTTATTTTCAATATTTCCCACTCTGTCTCCCTTTTACCCCTCTCTTTTCTATATATGGCACAGTCTCAAGAAAAGACAAGTCATAGTTTTAACTTTCAAATGCGGAAAATTCTGGACACACATGGATTTGAAGGCTAAAATTTCAACAGAGAGCTGTAAACACTATTACTGATTACCTTAGCTAAAAACAATTATTCTAATACTAAGGTACGATTGGTCAAAATGATGATAAATCTGTCCCTTTAAGTCCTATGATATACAATGATAGTATCGATTTTAACAGAGACGGTGTAATGGAAGGTATAGAATGGATTGTAGAAGGAATAAAACGAAACAGTATGGATAGACCACCGACACAGAAAGATATAACTTGATACCACCTAGTATATACAGTATACTGTTAATTTATTGGGACCAGTGACTCGGGGCTATATCTACATTGGATATTAATTTATGAATATGGACATGCTTCTTACCAGTTTATAAGGAGACCTTTTTTAGATTTTGGAAGTTATTTGAAATATAAGAATTATGGAAACGTGAAAAATAAGTTTTGATTTAAAAACTTGTGAAATTTCTGCTTGCACTCATGGATTAATGGTGGTTATTTGCAGATTTTCATGTGCATTGGCTTGTTGAAATCTGTCAGAAAATTGGAATGGTGGCAATTAATGTTACCATTGTCCCAACTGCCGAATTTTAGAAAACTTCTTTACAATCTTTTAAGATATACTCAAACTGAGTTATGCTATAGCAAGGTTTTCAAATTAAATGTACAATTGAAAAGAATATCAGAATTTTCCTTTGAATTTAATCATGCCATGCAGATAATTATTTAAAAAATTGAATATTTAATTTTGTCCTTTTTATTCTTGTCAGTCTTCAGTTTAGAAGTCATTTTTACTTTTGCATATTTTTCCAGAAGAGTATTGTATAAAATTTGTAAATATACAAAAATAAAGTGGATTGAAAGGGTGATTTTTATTTGCACCCCTTCTTATCCTAGAGTAAAATGGTAAATAATATGCTGATCTTATTTCAATATTTTTCTTGAATTTTAAGGGATATATGGTAAAAGTGACATAACACAATGGTATGCAGTCATTTGGGCACAAATATTTAATTCAGAAAATTTGAGACACACTTCTTTTAGGCACATGTCATTAAGGCACATATCATTAAGGCACAGTGATCTAGGCACACCTTTCAATCATGGATAATTATGGATACATCAGGAAAGAACTTTAGCTAAAAGTTCAATCATGTCACTAATAGCGAAGGACCTTATGTGATAAAGCATATCAAAATCATTTTTTGTGGAATTGCAGGAACCAAAGACTGAGAATACAACCCAAATGATATTTGGCAGGCAACCAAATACAACCCAAATGATTTTTGGCAGGAATCCAAATACAACCTGTATGATTTTTGGTAGGCAACGGCAGAAACCAAATACAACCCATATGATATTTGGCAGGAACCGAATACAACCCAAATGATTTTTGGCAGGCAACCAAATACAACCCAAATGATTTTTGGTAGGCAACCAAATACAACCCAAATGATTTTTGGCAGGCAACCAAATACAACCCAAATGATTTTTGGTAGGCAACGAAATACAACCCAAATGATATTGGAATTGATGTAACTAACACTTTATTTGGCAAGATTAATATAAGCTTAATAATATGATATTATAATGATAACAATAAATATGAGGAAATATGATGTTAATCTAAGACTAGATATGAAATAAGATCTCTTATATGCTTAAATATAATAAATAAAACAAACTATGAAACCAGAAGCAAAATAATAAAATCAAACTAATTTATATATTATTTTGAGATAATTATTATTAAGTTAACCCTTTCAACACTATAGATCAATTTCTTCATTAGTAAGGCATGTTTATTAGTAGCTTTGATATAAATCTTGCTAAAGAACTTTTATTTAAAAATATTTTGAATATTTTCAAAGCAATCACTTGATTTAATAGCTAGGTATCAGATGATGTTTAATTCTCTGAAAATCAGTGTTGAAAGGGTTAATATAAACTTAACATAAGTAAATTAATCACATCAACTTAAATAGGCATATAAACAATTCAGTACAACTTAACGAGTCAAGAACATAAGTAAATAAATGACATTAACCTTTAAAAGACGTTCACAACTTCAGAACATAAGTAAATAGATCAACCTAACTTTTATAGGCATTATATCTGAGGGCAAAACATAAGTAAATAAATCATTAACTTCAATAAAAGTATACAGGAGTCAAAAATATAAGTAAGTAAATAAAGCATATTAACCTTTAAAAGACATACACAAGTCCACAACATAAGTAAATAAATCACATTAACTTTAATAAATCTATATAGGAGTCCAAAACATAAGTAAAAAAAATAAAATTAACTTTTATAAATCTCTACAGGAGTCCAAAACATATGTAAATAAATCACATTAACTTAATAAATCTATACTGGAGTCCAAACCATATTTTAAAAAAATCACTTTAACTTTAATAAATCTAGACAGGAGTCCAAAACATAATTAAATAAATATGAGTCCACAACTTAAGAAAAGTCAACTTTAATAAGCATAAAATGAGTCAAAAAAGTATCCCATAGTTATTCTTCAACATTAGGTCTTCTGAATTTTAAGTTTCCAGATGATAAAGCTAACCATTTTCTGTTTGTCTGCAATTAAACCACCTTGATACTATGACCCTTTAAACATTTTGTATAAATTGCAGATGAACCATATATCAAATTTTTGTCACTGAAAAATGAGACTAATCATTAGAAAAGCAAAGTTCAACCATTTTTTTCCTTCTTAAAGGTATACTACCTCTTAAGATGACCAAAAAATTGAAATGAGTCTTTGTTCATCAAACTAAGTAATAATTCATTAAATTTAGTAATTTTGAAATATGCTGAAAATAATAATTCAATAATTATTTAGTTTAATGGAGATATTGTCTTATATAGAGATTCTATTCTTTAGTCATGGTACCTGGTAAATCCAACTGATGAATATATACACTTGTTGACCAAGTTTTAGACTTTAAATTTTATGTCCATTTTAAGAGGTAGTATTCCTTTAACATAATAAACAAATCAAACTTGAAGGGAGTATCTTGGAAGCACAAAAAGAAGATTTGCTACATTCTTCACGTCAAAAATAAGCTTAATTCAACACATTAGCATAAAAAAGAAGTCTATGCTGACACAACATTTTTTAACATGTTATTTTGCATTAGTTCATAAAGCTAGGAGTAAATAATTAGAAAAAATCAAGTAAGCACTAATATAATAATTGAAGTAAATAGACACCCTTTAAGAGTGACTACATTTTTTTTTATTCGAGACTACTTCATAAGGTGGAACCATTTATTATCTTATAGGATTGTAAGGATGTTTTTCTAAATTTGGTTTACATGTATCAGGGACACTGACAGCATCAATTCGCACCATTCCAATTTTCATTCCAAAGTCTGTGATCCCTGCAATTCCACTAATTGCAAAGTCCTTATGTGATACAGCATATTTTACGATTAGTGACGTCATCAAACGATTAGTTTAGTGGAAGTGCAAGAACCAAAGGCGTCCAATTGAAAATTTGAAATGGTGAAAAATGAAGCTATCAGTGTCCCCAATACATAAAATCATTAGAAAGCTTTACAAACCCTTAACACATTTGCCTGATATTTTTGTGTATTTTTGGAAGACATCATGTAGTAATACATCACAAACATTTATCAGAATCAAACAGAAGAGCATTATAGCATTATGTATAATGAGCATATTCTTTGATCACTGGCTTGTTTTTTTTTTAACTAGCGTAAACTATTACCATGCGTAAAACAAATAAATATAACCAACATATCATATAACTAAAACATTAATAACCATGCGTAAAATACATTATATAACCAATTTATTCAGATGTAACATAAAAAAAATATAATCTGTAATCTAATAACAAATTCTTTAACTAAATTCCTATTTTTTGATTTAAAAACAAAGAAACAAAATGTGTAGATCTTGATCTTCGCTATTTATATGTCTGTGTATGTACATTTGTTTTCCAGTAAATAATAAATGATAAATGAATAAGGGGTAAATTGTCAAGGAAACTACTGTATATTTCTGAATATAATGTGCAGTTTTTTTACCCGATAATGGGCCTGTTACCAAAGGGATCCCACTATACACAGTGAAATAAATACCGTGAATCGATGTTGAGGATCCGCCATTTTGTCTTCCTTCATTGGTATTGTCATTTAAAGGTGTGGGCACACGAGCGGTCTTGGTCATAGTTTTTTGCCGCCGATTAGAGTCTTGAGTAAAATCTCACATGTGCCTGTGTTTCCACGACAAGATTATCGTGTTGCCGTGTGGATTTATAATATCAAACAAGTCTCTGATAATTTTATCGTCTGCAACGTCATCATCCAATCAGATTCACTTTCCTTTTAATTGCATGCTCTGCATGTGATTATCCACAGGGTAGAAAACGATTGACTGGAGATTTTTGTCTCCTCGAGTGTCCACAGCCTGTCTGACAAGGCTGTAGTTGGGGACAAAAAAATACACGACCAAGACCATTCGTGTGCCCGTGCCTTAATACAACAATTTTTTTCAGTTGACAATTTAAAAACCTTAGGGATGCAATATTCACATTACTACCAGGTTTATATATCACAACCTTACCAAAATCATAAATTACATAATATTAGTATATTCATTGTATTATGCAAATAATATCAGACTTTGTGTGATATCCAGACAGTATTTCAGATCTAATAACTAAATATCTTTCTTATTAATAATAAATTTAACCTCTACAATATTATACTTGGTGGGCCTCTTGCTCTTACTCTTTAATCAATATATCAACTCAGTACTTCTAATCTCTAAATATATATTCTATTGTCCCTGATATCAAGAAATAAATATGCTAATTATGCATTGATATCTTAATCATGCGTAATATGTGACTTATATATCACTTAAATTTTGTGACAAATTTTATGGAGATTAGGTCAACCATTTGTTAATATTCTCATGGCTTCTGTTATATTGTATTCTGTTTCTTAAGGGGATTCAGAAGAACTTTTTCTGCCTATATGTGAATTCAAGACATTTATAGTTCCTACTTTCCTTTTTTCTACTTCCCATTTTGCTCTCTGTATTTTCAGAAAAACTTGACCAGATCACAAATACAATAATGCTTCAATAGTCATCTCGGATCAAAGACATGACTTAAATTTGACAGTGCAAATAAAAGCTTTCAGGGATTCATTTACAAATCTTGAAAATCTTTTAAATCCCTTTAAAAAATATTTCAAATTATTGAAGACAGAAATTCTTGACAAGAATTTTTGGGACTTCTTTCCAGATGCTTTGAAGGGGCATTCAGTTTGGTTGAAAAAAAAAATTTCTATAATTTGTGAAAGCTATACACTAAAATCTAGAGAAATGTGTCCCTTAAAGCATCTGAATGTTTAACTAGAAGATACTTAGACAAAAATAGCATCCTTTAGAAATATTTTCAGGTATAATTCAGGACGTTTTTGATAATGGAAATTTTGCCTACTGCCCCTTTAAGTAATATCTACGTAATATATTAATATCTAGCTAATATCAATATGGGTTAGTTAATAAATTAAGATAATTCACTTGAGAACTGTGAGCTAATTTCTCTCTAGCCTCTTCTATAGTAAACCATTCTCTTTGTCTGCCTGGAAAATAAAGAAGACATATGTTATGTTATCAGCAAGTTCAACAAAAAAAAATATGGATTTTAAAAAAGTGTTATGGATAGCTAAAATAGAGTTCTATCAGATCCTAATATTGAGTATCCTTTTGAGAAAAGTTTTCAAAACAAAAAAAATTATATTAAAACAAAATCAGACACTTACTTAGTTACAGTTCTGTCCCAGAAAGAATTCCAATAATAAAATGAAAGGATATGTTATAGACGAAAAATTACTCCAATCTGGGGGATAAAAGTCCTCTAAGTTAAAGGTGCTGCTAATGAGACAATATTGTCAAAATATCTTCGCAAAGAATACAATAAATTTCAACTTCATCATCTACAATAATGTGTTCAATTCATCCACAGCTAAGCATCTTCACAATGTCAAGCTATTACGAACTATGTCTAATACCTTGACTTCATCAGATGTAAGCTAATATTACAGTATTTGTAAATGTAGCGATTTGATTGGGTTGTACACTATTGAATAAAGCCAATTACAATTTAGTTGGTGCATTCCGTGAAACATGAAAAGAGTCCAAATGAAGTCAAGGTATTGGACACAGTTCATAATGGCTTGACAGGATTTTCTATGTTGGGCTTAACCAATAAGTAAATTCTTACCTAGATTTTTATTGTCTTCCCACTCTTCTGATAAATCAGTGACAATAAAGGTAAACACTGTTGTTCTAGTCTTCTTATCTTTATTCTGTTCAATAAATTTAAAACCATCATATTATTATGACACACCCAATATAAAGCTATATTTTGTCTTTGAAAATATTAGCTGAGGATCTTCGAATATATACACTAATTGGCCAAGGTTAATAATTTGAATACATGTCTGTTCTTCTATGAGGTAAGAAGATTTCCTCAAAAGTTAATGTGTAAGCTTATAGCATTGATTAGCACCATTCTAATTTTCAATCAGACTTCCTTGGTTCCTACAATTCCATTTTAACTATTCGTTTTATGACATCACTATCAAAAGGGTCCTTATATCAATAGTAGCTTTTGCATTATTGACGCTTACTTATAGTGGAATTGCAGGAAACATATATGTCTGACTGAAACTTTGAATGGTGCAAATTGATGATATCAGTGTCCCGGATACCTATAAAACTTTGAAAATCTCTTTACAATCTCTTTAAGAGGTACTAACCTCTACTTCTCCTAAAAGTCTCTCAATTTTTCCAAGAGCTCCAGCCTCTTCCAGGACCTCTCTAGTAGCAGTAATTCTGATATCTTCATTGGGTTCCACACCACCACCTGGTATGATCCATTTGTCTTTATATCTGTTACTGGAGATCAACAATAACTACAAATATACCGGTACAAGTCTTTTATCATTAATATATTTAGACCTTGGAGGTTCTAGGGCATAGTCAGTTAGAATATTGGAAACTTCACATCATTGTTACAGCTGGTTATGGCAAACAAATGGTGATCGTGGGTTTTAATCTCTGTTGGCGTCTGAAACTCTGGTGACCTTGAATAAGTTATCTCTCTTTATGATTCAAGTCGACCCAGCTGTAAATGGGTATGGATGTCAGGAAAAGATCGATTTGCCTGTGAATTTTGGTCCCCTATTTGCTTTCTGTTAATTAAAACATGATGTCTAATGCCCCTTCAAAGCATACATTTTTAATCTGAGAGGCATGCTTTGTGGTTTGTCTCAAATCATGATAGAATATAATAACTAACCTCTGTCTGAGATTTATCTTTAAAACATAAACAAGCTGCTCTTTTTCTGAAGCCATCTTCATAATAGGTTCTAATCTGTCTTTCTTTTATCACATAAATTCTTTGACTATCATCACTATTATTGCTGCTGGTGGAAACTGCAGCAGACATTTCTGGATGCATTCTTTGATTGCTTCAAGTTCTATCACAAAACTGTCACTATTTCAATGATTGTAGACCTATCATCTTGTGTAATTTCACAAAACATAACATGTGAGCTGAGACTCCAGACTGGATTAATATAGATAGGCCTAATATAAGCTTGTTTAGCTTTGATTTGTTAATCTCAAAATGTGGTTGGTCTAAGTGTAGTAAAGTGGTTCCTATGGCTAAACCTAGCAGCAGCACACGAACACCTAACCCAAAAGCAAATAAGTTCTCGAAGTTGAAATCAAAAAACACAATCACTACAGGATTTTTGAGGATTATAACAAAGGACTACTGATTAACCAAATCTCGAAAAAGTCACAAGTGAATAGTCAGTGAACAGACTAATTAATGTCGATATGCACCCTGCACATATTGCACCACTTTACTCTTCGTTCGTCTTGCTCTTGAAAAGGACTGCACTTGTTATGGCTTGATGTTATCATACAAAGAAAAGATGTGGCTACAATAGTTACAAAAATGAAATTCCTCACATCTACATTGATTCAACATTCTAATATTCCTTTTAGACTCCTCTTTTGAATTACAAATCAAATGTTTTTCTATTTACACTTTATTAGATTTGAATCACGTGATTTTGATCCGGGCACTTGACACCTTCGTTCTACTATCAGGTTATATTATATCATAAATGAATGGAGTTTTACGTACTTTTGCAGACTGAGAAATTGAAAAAGGTGCTGTTTGACATCATAAAATGAACTTTATAGTTCACAATCAAGGATAATGTTACTGGATCTAAAATTTGCCATCTTGTTTTGATTAAAGCGACCAGTCAGGTTACACAGGTCATTTGATAGTTCCACGTCGTCTGCAACCAAACAAAGTCAAAGGCAAAGTTGGAGAAAAAGTGTAGGCCTACAAAAATACATTTTATTTCTATTAATGGGACCAAAATTAAAATTAAATCTCGTAACCCAAACATAATATTGTCACTGTCAATCCAATGCATGATGGACATGGGCTGTTTACAGAATGGTGTACTAGGCCTTTAGATTGGCCAATAAAAAATTGAGGTCAAGTTTGTATAAAACATTTATTTCAAACAAAACTTGTTCAGGACAAAATTTAAAAATTGAATTAATGATGTGAAATTAAAGGGTCCTGCAAACTATATATAGACCATAGAGTTATAATATGATATAGCTTAGACTTAGGTATATATGTTTTTGCAAAACATACAATTTTCGGATATACGGAAAATATTCCATTAAAATTTCACGTTATTCTTGTATCCCTGAATGCATCGATTTGATTGAGTTGTATGCCAGTGAATACAGCCAATGAGAGCCCTCTGTAAACGTTATGGCATAGGTAGGACTACGTTTTGTAATAGCTTGAAATTTAAAGATGGTCTATCATTATATCATATAAATCACTGCATTTATAAAACAAAACATTGTCAATTATAAGAAAATTAATATATAATTAAAATTTTAGTAGAACAAATTCTTGCAACCTTCAAACATTATTCTAGAATATTTGTAAGCTTTTGATTTATTGCTATTGTAGTCTTTCAGTTAATATTCTGTTATGTATAGGACCAATAACAAATTTTCGCTGCAGCCCTTAATAACATTGAGTTGTAGTTCTACTTTGTTATGGATTTGGTTATATGCAAATATGCCTACAACTTCGCCTTATTCCTCTTTACTAGTACGTGATTTACCAGTTTGACAACTTCCCCTGCACATCCCCAGTGTAGAGTGACGCCACTACCACCATGTCCATAGTTATGTATAATCTGAAAAAATATGTAGGCTACAATCATATTTAGCCTATACATGTAATAGGCCTAGGCCATTTTGCTCTCGTGGGTAGGATCCATGAGCCCATATGCATGTCAAAGTAAAGCCAGAAATTGAAAAAAGGCAATAACAAAATATATCTATCAGTGGCGACTATAAAATGAGAGGGAGCGAAAAAAGCAAAGTGGCAGATGGAAAAAAAAAGATGGGTTTCTGTAGCCTCTATCATCCAGTCCCTCTCCGTCTAAACACGACAGGTTTACTCTGGGCCTCAGAGACTGCATTTTCTGTCACATTCATATATCCGGAATTGCATGCATGGCATGCTTCGTTCAATAAATTCTTAACTTACGGGACAATTAGAAGATGTGGTTTCGTCTAATTCAAGTCTAATCTGTGTTCTTGTTGGTCTCAATCCAACCCAATGATAATCTATTTCGCTGTTCTGAAAAAGATCAATATTCAAATCACGTGCTATAGGTTATTTGAAAATTAGTATTGAATAAATGATAAGTCACTTCCTTAAAAATGTTTTTATTTGATTACGAACAGTACGTAGGACTTTCAAACTGAAATGAGCAATGAGCTAGAGATGGTTTAACTAATGTTCAACCAGGTTGGCTTAAAGATAGTTTATGCGTTGAAGCACATCACATCACATCACATCACATCACATGATGCAAGATTAAAGCCTCTGAAATGATACAAATTGTCAAGATGAATGTGTATGATATCCTAAAGACCTTTTAGAAAGTCTTCATACCTTTAAGCTTGGAACAAGTTTTAAACATCTTTCCCATACACCAGTGCTATCTGATTTACTCGCTTGCATGTTCCAGTTTCCTTCTTGGTAGGTGCCGCCAAGAACAACATTTTTACTTCTACAAAAAATAGAACAATAGCTTGCCAGGCAGCACTGGCGTTTTTGCACATAAGAAGCGAAGGGATACACCAGTAATTGCAAATTAAATGAGGCTATGTGTATTTGTTCTTTCCTTATTGCACGATGCATGGCGTTACCTGAAAACACCCTTTTATTTTTCCATTAAGACGGTTTTAAAAAAATATAAAAAGTCCTACCCTGGTATAACATACGCCAGATTTCCACTTTCATCATTGGCATAGAAATGTTTAATCCATGGTGCTTTTACCTATAACAAATTATCAATAAAGGTCGATATCATGGAATAAAAAGAAAGAAACAACTCTAATTTATAACGATGATAACGTGGGTTCACGAAAAGCCCTTCTACCAGCTTGTCCGTGGCCAAAACTCTCTGTTTTGATATTTGAGTGAAAGTGACCAATTATTCATTAAACTTTCACAAGCCGACCGAGATAAGAACCTATCAATGTGGATAATCATTGTACCGTTGCTAAAGGAACATGCCCTTTCCGCATGAAAAAAAAAGAGAATGACTCAACTCTTATCGTCTCTCCACGAGTTGGTGACAGTTCTTTATCACCAATAAGATCTATTGAATTCAATCCTGTACAGTTCACAATGATATCATAGACTGCTGATAACTGTAAAAAAAAAAATATATATAATCTGATCGAAATAGAATTTAATATTTCGCCGCAAAACCTCCTGCTTTTGTAATATAAGACCTTTTGCAATAGTGACGTCATAAAACGCTTTATAGTTTTAGTGGAATTGCAGAAACCACACACGTCTGACTGAAAATTGAAATTGTGCAAATCGATTCTATAACAGTGTCCCCGATACACATACAAAGTTTAATAAACCTCTTTACTATTCCTTTAAGCGGAAATGGTTAGCATTTAACCAAAAGCCGTAAACTACTAGATTAACCAAACTGAAGAATTCAAAAAAGACCTATGCATACCTCTGATAGAGAATGAATTTTCTTCTTGGTTATTTTTCCACCATTTCTCTCAAATCTGAAATCAGAGATTTATTCTCTTGTACTTAATCCGAATCACCAAGTGTTAACACTAATACCAACACTTACACCCAACTTTGAAATCACCCAATATGTAACGTCAGGAAAGTGGTAAGGTTTCTTGTTAAATATCTCACTTATGACTCAAGGGTTTGGAGTTGAATATGATCTTAACACCTTCAATAACTCAACATAAACACAATAACAATCCTTACCTTCGTTTTAACCAAGCTAAATACGATGTACAATCGACTTTAATAGATGTAAAAAACTTTGCCCATCTACAAAAATCGATGCAAATTATTATTCACCATATAAAACTGATTAGGCCTATTTCAAAATGCAAATTATGTGCGTTACTTCATATGCCATCCATGATCTGATTGAGGAATTAGGCATGTGGGTCATATACTACCCTATCCACCCAATCAAATGTTTTTTTTTTCATGAATTGAATTTTTGGGGTCATATACTTTTCATCCAATTAAATTTTCTTGTTACGAATTCAATTCAATATAGGACACCGTGTATTTTTTCTGGAGAATCCATGCCTGTATGGCTATGTTTTTTATGTTTTGCAATGAGCCTACCTTGCAGAAGGGAACCATTTCTTTTCCTCTTGACTCAGATCTCTTACTCCATATAAAACTTCTGGGCATTTAGAGAACTAAAATTCAAAGATACTCTAACTATTTAGCCAGACAAATCTGGTCTTACCCGTTCCCCGGATGTTATATAAATTGTCACAGTTAGGGGAAAAGGTCACATTTTATAGGATTATGGATTGATAGCTTTTGAGAATTTTCACCATGGCAAAAGCCAAATTTGGCAAAACATTTGGTATCGATGAATTAATGAATCCATCAAGCCATTTCTGGACGTTCTGCAAAATGCCCACTCTTCATTCCACATGTTACGCGATCGAAATGGTGAACATAGAGCTGGCCCAAAGTGGGTCCTTATGGATGTCAATGGCTCGTACACCTTTACCTTGATAGATGTGTTGCAGATTTAAAAAAAAATAATTAGCCAAAAAATCCAAAGACTTTCCATCGGGCAAAAATAGGTCTATGGTAAGATACCTGTTTATTTTCATCATCACCCATTTGAAAACCAGATAATAAATGTACTGCCACTTCGGATGCTTCAGCTGACCTCGTCAGTGATTCAAGGTGAGCTTTTGTATCTAAAGACCATTTCCTGCAAAATTTAGCTTTGCGTTAAGATGACAATGCAAGACAAACCATATGGGAAAAAAGTTGGATCGTAGGTCAAGATTGAATTCGAGATAGCCCTGGCCTGTCTTCTGATAAAAAAAAAATTAAATAGCTTGAACTATGTTCGGCCGGTAAAGCACATAAGGTCGTCGAACAGCGGTGATTTTGAAACTTCTATTAGACCGTGACCGGGCAGGTATGACAAATCATTTAAAAAGATTTGTGAATACTATAAATTCTATTTCCCATTCAAATCAAATGTAAAAATAGAGAAGATAAAGCTTCACATCATGGTATTAGAGAATCAAAATTTCATTCACCTCAGTAACTGCACAGGGGTTGTACCAGCAGCAAAGACCAGTATCATACCACCAGCACCATCAAACGTTGTATCCGGAGAAAACCGATCAGCAATAAGAGTTACATCACATCCTAGAACCTCTTCTTGTATTCTTATTGCTGAGGATAGACCTATTACACCAGCACCAACAACGCACACTTTCATTTTCTAAACTACAGAAAACTGAACAGCAAGTTATGTATCCAAGTAAAAAAAACCTTAGGTTTTAGAGCCCAGCTACAATCAATAATACCGAAGGATTGCGTGTGGTTAGCTATGCAAGACTAAGGATGTTCTGTTGCCATTCTGCTACTGGGTTTGTCAACTTTGCACCCTTGGTCCTATTGTATATTGAACAATTACGTACAGGCTGTGATTAGCTGGGGTTCAAAGACACATTAGTTTGGCGGAAATTCCAGAGACCATCGAAACTTGATATTTATTTATTCAATGTCTGCTTGGTTATTTATTTTGGTCTGAAAAAGAGAGTTGCCTCCCCTGGACTGTTCTCCAGAACCTATGAACCGTAAGAAGACTTTATCTGTTATGTAGGAAAGAGCATCGCCAATTTTTCGTGTGAATTTTCCAGTTCAAATTAAATCAAATTTAATTTGATATCTTTGAAAGCATTAAAAGCTTACAAACTAATGAATAGATTTTATTCAATTGAAAAGCAGAAAAATGAAATGGGCTATAATGACAAAAAGTCAAGAAAATCCTTGCATTAATTACATGAAATTAATATCAATGCGCTCAATTAACAATTCTTACATTTGATGATATATTAATGTTATAATCTCAAAGTTTTCATAAATATTAACATGTTCAGACAAATATATTCTGCTTTTGAAAATAAAGATTAAGTTGTTTCTATTAAATAGAATAACTGAAGGGACTATTTTCTTTTGGCCATATTCAAGGTAGCTGTTATTTGGTTGCTAAACATGGTGCTAGCACGTAGACAAACCGAAAATTACTTTGAATTTATCTGTTATTTTCATTCATAGGCAAGTATCTTACAACTTTTGAATTCCTGGAACATAAATTGCAAGTTCACAACTTTGCGTTGATGATATTTTGGCCCCCATAAGTGGTCTGTCCAAAATTTTATCTATCAATTTAGGAGATCATTTGTTGTCATTTTCAACAAAACAATCAACTATCCAATGAAGCCGTTTCCCTGTTCAAAGTTTTCCCCCTATGTAGTAGTGTCTTATCTATGCTTTTAAAATTTTTTACTGCATTATTACAAGCGATTATTTGAGATTTTAACTAGCTTTGAATTAGTCATTGAATGGACTTGGGTGTTCTTCTCAGCCAAAGATAAACAAATGACCCACTTGTTTTATTTCTATGAGGACGACGCCATTTTGGATAATGTTTATTAGACCGGAAGAGTTAGCAAAATTTTATAATATTAAACTCTCCAGCTAGTTTCACTAGAATTAGTTAGTGTATTTCGTTATTATTGTCAGATTCAGTACCTTGTTCATGAAATTTAAGGCGCAGATTTAGCTACAGATCGAAAAATTAAATTACGATACTAACCTGGAACGGACTATACCCATAGATAAGTCTGATTTACTATAGATGATTACTCTAGCATATATACTAGATAGCAATAAACCTTGAGTTCAAGGTATTTAGTTGGATGAAAAATTGGACACTTTGACATATGGTACAGTGACATTGCCCACTAGTATAAAGATATGCATTGCATACACACAAAACTATGTTTAGGACAACCTGTTACCTGACAACTGGTCTATTTAACCAACTCAGTTTCAGATAGGCCTACTGACCACTGGTCAGTGTGTGCTTATTTCAAATATAAAATCAGCAAATTTGTTATCAAATATTTCTTTTGACCCAAAAGCAAATGACATGCAATTAAAAATTTAATTTTGAGTACCGGTACCGGTGTATTTTTAATGACAGGAAAATGCAAATTCTGTGCTCACTTTGGTCAGAGAGTAAAGCCTATTTAAAACCAATATAGGACTCTCTTCCTCAAGTTGCACTTAAAAAAGTAAGCTTACATGTTATTTGGCAACCTGGTAGGTTTGAAATACGTGTAACATGCATGAAAAAATAAAGTTAACACCCACAACTGATAGTAAGTCTTACCATATGATGAATACCAGTGTTATGTGTGCTTATGAATTTATAACAAAATACTTAAACTGTTTTGAAATCAGAAATGCAAGAACATGTACATAGGTAGATTATGTGTGTGCATAGCTAATGTAGGCCTACTGAAGCATAAAATTATTTCATGTATAAAGCTTACATTATTTGTCATGCTCTTTTTCTTTTCACCAAAAGGCTTAATCCACCAAAATAATCTAATAGTATTTCTGCATCATCAACAGACTGTATCTGCCATCAATATGTTTTTTACTGCATAGGCAATATGTTTTTCAACATTAAATAAACAAACAGTTTGATATTGATATATGTAATCATATTGGCATATTTGTATTTACAGGCAATTGAAGAAATAGTTAGCAAATGGCAAGATGGAGTCAAGTGGTGGAAATAATTCGAATAGTACCCCAAAGATAATGGTATTCAGACCAACATGGGAAGAATTTCAGAATTTTCCTAAGTTTATTAAATACATTGAGTCACAAGGAGCTCATAAAGCTGGGCTGGCAAAGGTATTGTATTTAATCAGTACTTAATATCACACATATTTCAATTCCAGTTTTGTGCTAAATTGCAATTTGCAATGTTTTTTTCATTCAAATACCTATAAAGAGCTTAAGCTTGTAGAGTTTTCTTTTTGATTGAAAAAGCAAATTTGTGAACATATTACAAATGCAGAGACAGATTACTTGAGAGGTAGTGTTTCAGAGCCCTTGACATAAAGACTGTAAACATTATGACTTCTAATTTACAGACTTTCTGTATATGACTCTGATTGACTGTATTTTGTAGCGTACTGTCCAATCAAATTGCTGCACTAACAAAATTTTGTGATACTCGGTTCAAGGAAAGAGCCTAAAGCTTGTGAAAGTGCCATGAGCGAGAAGTAGAGAATATTAGTACCAGTCTATTTGATTACAATTTGTATATTTGAAAGGTTATACCACCACCTGAATGGAAACCAAGACGTAATGGTTATGATGATATAGATATTACTATACCAGCACCTATTAGTCAGATGGTCAATGGCTGTCAGGGTCTATACACACAGTATAACATACAGAAAAAACCTCTTACAGTTAAAGAGTTTGAGAAATTGGCCAATAGTGACAAGTAAGTATTAGTTCAATAAGTTTGTAATTTCAAGACCAGTGACGTCACAAAGCTAGCTTAATTCTTACAAGAATTGTCTGTCTTAGAGTGACAGGTTTCCCCTTTGTTTGACCAATCGTACCTGTCTCAAAATGTTTTTAGACAAGACAAGCAATAATGGTGTTAACAGATTCAATTTTCGCATAGTTGTAGTAAGCTTATTTCTTAAAACTATTTACATAAGCTCAGTAATATTATGGCAGTTCTCATTTTATACTTCATGACATCAAGTGATGCCTGTTTTCATTGTAGCAAAGTCGGATGTAAAACCCATTTCATTTTAATTTCTATTTTTTATCTGTAGATATCGGACACCCAAACATTTTGATTATGAGGAATTAGAAAGAAAGTATTGGAAGAATATAACATTTGGAGCACCAATTTACGGTGCTGATATATCCGGAAGTATTTATGATGAGGATCAGAATGAGTGGAATATCAATAGGCTTGGTAAGTAGTTTTGATATTTCAATCCCAGAATTGGTCAAGATGATACCATCAGATTTTCTACCTGATTTTCCACTTTCATTTATACAGGATAGAAGGGGTGACATGGATAAGACATAGCAAGACCCCTTGACATTTGAAGAATTAGAAGTAATAATAATGGACTGTTATGTCTCTTTTCTGACATTTCCCTTATTTGGCTTGGCATTTGATCATCTGCTTTAACCAAATCTATAGCAGAAAAGTGGGATGTGAAACTTTTCTTTGACATTTGTCGTAAGCATGATGCCATAGACGAAAATGATATATGATGTATCTTATTGATTTATGATATCAGCTGATGTGCTGACTGAAAATGACAAACTTGCACATAAAAAGACCTCTTCACAATTTCAATCTATTACAAACTATGTCTTATACCTTGAATAATAGCCACCTTCACCATCACAAAATGCAGCGATTTGATTGGATTGTACGCTAGCAAATAATACAAATGAATGTTCGATGGATCATTGTTTTTCGCATGTCCAAGTGAAATTTATGCTGTATTTTGTAGGTACCATTCTAGACTATGTAGCAGGTGATTATGGTATCCATATTGAAGGTGTTAATACAGCCTATCTATATTTTGGTATGTGGAAGACTACCTTCGCCTGGCACACAGAGGACATGGATCTATATAGTATTAATTATCTTCATTTTGGTGCTCCGAAATCATGGTATGCTGTTCCTCCAGAACATGGAAAACGACTTGAAAGACTCGCTCAAGGTAATCTGAATCCTATGAACAACAATGAAATCTTCGTATACCCTTAACTCCAAGTCATATAACTAGAAGTCTTGCACTTCAAGTACCGGTAATACAACTTAAAATCTTCATATAACTTGAACTCCAAGTAATAAAGTGTGTTACATTAACAATAACCATAGATATATCCATTCTTTGCTGAAGTATGAATGATCAGATGATTAAAAATCATTGATTTGAATAATTATATCATAGATCATTGATGTGAATCTAAATGTAAAGCTATGTTTATATGAAATAATGTTTCAAATTAGTTAATGGTATAGATCTTTCTGTGGAACAAATTCTGTCTGATTTTCATATTCCAAAATATGTCATTTTGCAGGTTTTTTCCCAGGAAGTTTTCAAGCATGTCCTGCCTTTTTACGCCATAAAATGACACTGATATCACCTCATATTTTAAAACAGTATTCTATTCCTGTTAACAAGGTCAGTATTTAGATATACATCTCTTAACTGATGTTGAGTTGGGATGGCTCACTGAGTTAGACATTTGAAAAGGGAAAGAAGGAAAGCAAACAATTTCCACAAAGATTATAGCCTGTTACTTTGTGTCACTGGCACAGAAAAACATTCTTTGAATCTATTTTGCTGATGTCCAGCTAAGAGCCCAACTTTCAATTTTTTTTCAACAAATACATCTGTAGTGAGCTCAGAAATGGGGGGTGTTTTTGTTAGTCAATGACATCTTCTTGATATTAATGTACCAAGACATTTATATTGTGCTTCAGTACATTTTACTACTGACAAATATTACCTACAGTTGAAATTGAGCTCAAGAAGCTGTTGAATTGAATCACTTATTGTGTCACATTAAAAACATATCTTACTTGATTGCTTCTTTTATTTATTTATTTTGATGCAGAGGTTATACATAGTGGAATATGTCAATAGTGTAATATGTGTAATATGTCATTATTCTAATATGTCATTATTGTAATTCGGATTCTGATATTTACAGATAACCCAAGAGGCTGGTGAGTTTATGATAACATTTCCTTATGGTTATCATTCGGGATATAATCATGGTTTTAATTGTGCTGAATCTACTAATTTTGCTACTGAAAGATGGATCGAGTATGGTAAAAGATGTCTTCAGGTAAGTGATTAATATAGTTAGAACTATTGATTAAACAGACAATGAAACCATCAATTGCAACTAAATAAATCATGTGAGAAAACTACTTGATAATCAAAGCAGAATTTCTTGCATGCCACAATAGATAGCTTGCATTATCATGTCTTTAAATAGATCTGCCATTCTGGTTTCAAATTTTTGGAGAATTAAATTATTCTATGTCTAACTGATCAACAGTTCCAAAATTCATCATATTTACCCTATCTTCTTCAAGCATCTACATAATTAATATTTACTTTGTAGTGTATATGTAGAAAGGATGGTGTAAAGATTAGTATGGACTGTTTTATAAAAAGATTTCAACCTGATCGTTATCCATTATGGAAGGCTGGTGAAGACATTGGTCCTCATCCAGAAGATAGATACAAGAAAAATATCAGATCAGGGTTAGATGATTTCAGAATTAATGAACCAGAAAAACAGAACCGCTGAACCTTGTTGCTGGAACTTGAGATGATTTTAGGGTTCCAGTACCAGTCAACAAATTGAAATAAGGAAATCAGTTATAAATTTTGTTTTATCGGTCTCTGAATTTTCATTGTTGTTTTAGATTTATTTTGGATTGGCATGAATATTCCTAATATTGGCATGATTTTGGTAGCAAATTTCTGGTTGAAGGCTATTAGGCCTTAGAAGAAACTGGAATAGGTCATAGAAAAGACCCTGAATTGAGCAGACTCAACTTAGAATTGACAATAATATTAACTTGGAACATCCTTCCTCATTTGTTGTCTAAGTTTTGAAATTGTATTAAAAGAATTTGATTTTATTTTCAGGGAAACAGAGTCTGGATCAGGAACAGTTTCCAAACGACATCCCCCATCCAAGAACTTTGAAAAACGAGGGAAAAAGCCCAAAAATATCGGAGTGAAATTGGAGAAAGAAGGTTCCATTGACTCAAATTGTGCCACGCCAACAGAAGAAGAGAAACCAGAGAAGAAGAAAAAGAAAATCAAAGAAGAGAAAGCTAATGAAGAAGATGAAGCTGATGCTGTGAAATCAGAAAAAGGAGAGAAGTCTGTTGTTCCTTCCAAAAGAAAGATCGAGAAATATTGCAAGAATAATGCTCGTCCCAAAGCAGCTTTAGGTCCAAACATGTCATCATCCTTCCAAGATGCTTTTGCCAAACAGTTTGGTATTGACATCAATAAGATTAAATCCCCTGACAAAGCTACAAATGTGGAGGAGCAGGAAGGTGATGGCCCTGAAGTAAATGAGTCCAAAGATCAAGCATCAAAATCTTTAGAAACTTCATCAGAACCTCCTGTTAAGAAAACAAAGAAAGCACAAGCTAAAGTGGTTGAAATCCAGGGCAAACAAGGACCTTCATCAATACCATTGGATACCATTGACTTTGTGCGAAAACTTCAAGCCCAACAGCAACGATGTGGTGGAAAGATTCAGCAACAAGTAATAAAACAGCATGTTGTTTATCCAGTGTTACCAATTAAACCACAAACATCACCTGTTGCTACCAATAATGGTCATTCTTTAGATCAAACTATAGCAGCTGCTCAAGCCAAGCTATTTCAGTCTCCAGAAAGACCTCATGTTACTGGCTCTGAGTCGGTCCATCCTCAATCGAAATTGTATAACTTGGTGGCTACAAAACCTGTTTATTCTCCTTCTGCTACATCTTTTAATGCTTCTCCATTGAATTTAGTGAAACCCAAAGACAACCCTAAACAGAGAGTAGTGATGCATAATAGCAAAACAACCATTCTGAAAACACCTAAAAATGAAGCTGCCCAAATTCCTTTACTCAATACTGACATTCAGGCAGCTGCTCATGCAATCCATATTCAGAAGCAGATTAGGCAGGTTCTAGCTCAAGAGTGCTATATTGTGAAAGGAAAAAAGATTCCTCTCTCTGATGAAGAAATTCAAAGTTTGCGACAAGCCCTTGCTGCACAGATGGAACATATTCAGAAAGCTGCTCAACAAATGGCACATGAAAAGATATCTCCTAACAGTGGTGTGAACATTATTCCAAAATACACCATTGTCAAACCGGCATCAAATAATACATCTACCAAGACTATCAGCCAGTCATCATCACAGCAAATAGCATCTCAGAATCACCATTCATATGCAGCACCATCTGGCATACCAACACCACAAATACCGTCCCAACAAATTCCATCTTCTCATCCGAGGTTTATTTTGCAAGGTGTTCAACAAATTAATCCAAAATCACCAAGAGCTATGCCACAGCAGCATTCATCAAGTCTGTATCAACCATTAAAAATAGACGTGACCTCACCATCATCTAATTATTGTGTCAAAACTCCGCTAAATACAGTGAACCCTAGTGAAACAATACGTGGTGCTGTGGGTGTTCCACAATCCACAGTGACTGGATCATCTGGACTACCTTTAACTGTGAAAAATTCTTGGAAATCTCCTGCAAAGACTTCTAGAAGTGATTTCCAATTATCATTATCCCCCACCCAGACATTGAATTCAAATTATAACACGATGCAACTTATACCTCAACCTATTGTCCCTAGTTCTCAAGTGTCGCCCCCTACTCTGAAGGCCGAAATTATGACTTCACCTGTTGGGGTACATAATTATGCCTTGCCCCCTGACATTACATCCAGTGTGAACCCTAACAGTATTTTAGCGTGTAATACACCTAGTGTAAATAACAATGGTGTGAGTAATCTGTCGACTAGTGATTCGGGTAGTGTTGCCAGCACGAATAATCCCATGGTACCATATTATAACTCAGGTAACAAGGTATATGTTAACAAGTGTTTTTATTAGCCTTTGGCTCACTCATCTTTTTACCTTTCTCTTGTTTTAATGCTCACATGAAAATGTGAACTTATATTGTCACTTGTCTGTCCAGTGTCCTTAAACGTTTTTCTTTACGAGGAAACTTCAAAACAAAAAGAGACTATTGTCCATAACTGACATAGAAGAAACTTTAACAATATCCTGTCAACTTTGGCGAATTATTTTACTGGTCTTGATTCGTACAATTTATTGAATTTAATTCACTCAGCAAAATGAAATTAATGACAATCTGATCTGCTGTTGTGGGTGTTTGTTATCTAGCCTAGCAAGCTATCTTTTATGTTTATTTGTACACCATACCTCTTCATCTCCATTTAAATGTAGAGACTGGCTTAAAAAAAAATTTTGCATGAAATAATGTCCTTGATGTGGTTTAAATCTCCTTTTACAACCTTAAAATTCATTCAATCATAGCATATTTTTAGCATCATAGTACGCTTTTAAAGGAAATGCTTCTGAATTAGAAGTTCTCATGGACTTTAACTTGATGTTATTTCATAACATTTACTTGAAAACAATAACTGAGTATAGTGAAAGTGCCAGTCTGCATGCAACTGTTTCCTATCATGTCTTTCCATTCATCATCAATTTACTCTTTTCCTTGTATCCCTTTAATTTATTATGATGCTTGATGCTTTATTTTGAATGGCTGAGTAGGACAAAAATATGGGTGTGGTCATTTTGGCATTCTTTATGATTTGAAAAGTTGCTTTCTGGAGCTTTTTTACGGCAATTTCACTTACTAGTCCATCGATTAAGCTTATTATTGTCATTGTAATAAGTCCCAAAAATGTGTGAATTTAAGCTAAGTATTGTGAGTGTTTGAAAGGGTATGTTTACTCTTCTTTCTAGACACCAGATACCACTCTCAAGTGACTGGGCTTGTCAACTCAACATTCCTGAGTCCACATGGCAAATTGGACTGTAATAATTATCAACTTGACATTAATCTAATTCAAATCAAAAAGTTTTGATAAATATTTCCGACAACAACAGTTGCCTGTAATTCATTAAAAGAATAGCAAACCATACATTGCTAAATTGTTTTTTTGTTTGTAATATATTGTAATTCTAAATTTATTTTTTTGTTTATTTTCAGGATGGTATCCCTATGGTTGGCCAGGATATTTCTGGTGACCACAAGATGTCACTGTCCATTGACTCGCACCAACTGAAAGCCACAAAGAAAAAGATGAAAAATGTAAATAAAATTAGTAATATGATTAAGAATGAAAATAAACCAATATCAACAAAACCCAGTGATAAAAATATCAAGAAAAAGAAAAACAGTAGTAAATATAACAGTACTGATGATGGTAAGATCCATAGTATTTTGGGTTTTTTTTTTTTCAGGCAGAGCTATAAGAAGTGCCAGATTTGTGCCAAAGATGGATTTTATTGGTCTCCACATAATCATTATGATGATTTGAAATAGATTTTCAAAATAAAACTAAAGCCTTTTTGAATCACATTGATAGACATATAGTCTGCAGATTCCACAAGACATAACATTTAATTGGTACATAAAAACATACCAGTTAGCCAATTATTCTATTGATGGACAAGGTTTTTTTCCATTCTGTGTCCCCATTCGAAGTTCATATAGCTAAATGATTCTACTCATGGACAATATTTTGCTAACTTGATATTATTTTTCTAGCTCAGAACAATTATGTGCTATATTGATTATAATTTTGGTTACAGAGAGTTCAACAGAAACAGCAATGCCAGTCCAGAAAGTAAAGAAAAATGATGTCTCAGTGTTAGATGAATGGGCACATCCACTAAACAGGCTATGGCAAAATCAGCCATTAGATTTTGAAAGTGAAGAGATCTATAATTCCATTATGTCAAGAAGAATGCCTTTTTGTGCTGTGTGCTCTATGTTCAGAGCAGTGGAGGTAGGTGCAACTTGTTTTGATGACTTCATTTTTAAAATATAAGTATTGTGATGTGTTGAAAGCGGACATGAACTGACTCTGCATTAATAATTTTCTTACCATGTGGAAAACTTGAAACCACACTTGTCAAGCAGATCAATATTCAAATCTACAGACAAAGCTATTCCACTATTAGATTAAAATGGTCATTGATATATATATATATCATATTAACGATGTATGATATAACAAGATATTGGACGTAACTGCATAAATCAGGGGGAAACAAACCCTATATATTTTAAGCTCAAGAGTTCAGTGTTAACAATGGCAAAAAGTCTGATTATTCAAGTCTTCACAAATGTCTTGATTATGTAGGTTATATAAAAAATTATTTCAAAATTCCAGAATGGAAATAAATTCTATGGACTTTGAAAAGATATTTTGGGATATTATCTTTAAATTTTGACTTGCCATAAAATCATATGTCATGTATCTTTTTTGGTTTTATTTTTGACTATATTTTAATTCTTCATCAAATTTTAGCCTGGAAGTATAGAGATTAGTAAAGCCAGTTTACAAAAATCTAACACCATCAGTGTACCAGAGAAAACCTTACCGATGATACCAGATGCTGTCTTTGTTAGCAGTGCAGAATCCCCAAGTGTATTTGGTGTTCATCCCTCAATGGATACTGATGGTTGTAGTCCACTATTGGTTTGTGAGGATTGTCAAGTCTGTGTACATGCCAGTAAGTGATCGACGATTGTTGATTTTCCATTCAACATTTGTGTATGATTCTAATTTGATAATACAGTAAAACATTTCAAATTCTCTGTAAAATTGAAGAAAAATTTGTCAATGCCTTATCCCAAATATTTAGGAATTTTAGCCTATTCTAAAAATCCCACGACCAATAGATTCTTTGGTGTGACAAAGACATAAAGTGATGTGCATTAACAATACAAATAACAGCAAATGAAAAAGTATACGGGTAATTGGAATAGCTAACTGATAGAACTCCTTGCAAATGTTTGTTGTTCTATGATAAAATTTTGGGCAATTAATGGGTTTCATGTTAACGTTTAAGTTAAAATTGTTGAAAATTTGCAGGTTGCTATGGTGTTAAAGATGTTCAAACTGATATCTCTTGGAAATGTGATAGATGCCAAGAAAATGCTGTAAATGCTGTAAGTATTGAAATGATTCTTGATTTTCTCCAAGTTTGAGTTTCAGTGCTGTATGTACTGTGATAATGATATATTGCTATTCTATATTGAGATTGATATGGATATGGGTTCTGTTACAGGAATGTGAAGTATGTTTCTTAAAAGGAGGAGCCTTAAAGCAAACAACATCGCAGCAATGGGTACATCTAATCTGTGCTCTATCATTAAATGATATCAAGATAAGAAATGTAGAAGAAAAGAAAGATATAGTTATAGACAATATACCACAAGCCAGATATAAATTAGTAAGTTGACAAATCTTTTAACTGTTCTCATGGAAGCAATGGTTCAAGGTTATGAGATGACTTCCATAATTTATGAAGTCAGCATGTGGAGTGATCATCTCAATGTGAGTGAGTATTAGCAAAATCATCTCTCCTTCAGAATCAAAATATGCGAAGTGCCTCCTATATTTGTCAAATTCAGCTTTATGTCTTACCATCATCAGAAAGTTTGGTGAAATTTGCATAACTCTTATTGACACCTATTAGATTCATTGCGTTTTCAGATAGTAATTTTATTTTCTTCTTGAATTTTTTGTAGAAATGCTGTTACTGTTCCCCACTGACAAAGAACTGGAGTAAAATGACACCATGTATGCAGTGTTCACATGGAAAGTGTTTTACGGCGTTTCATGTAACATGTGCTCATGCAGCTGGCATGCAGTTTGAAACCAGTGATTGGCCACATCCAGTTTATGTAACTTGTACCAAACACACTTCAAAACAGGTAAGAGTAGCGTGACTAAATTAACTTCATAAAAACCAAAATATGCACTTTGAACTTCTTATTTATCCAAAGAAAAAGAAGCTTGTGCATGTCAAGGGTTTTGTTGAAAAAAGGGTGGAGCTTCATCTGTGCAATTTTTTCAGGCAGTTTATATGTATTATTATATTTTCCATTTTGTATTTCAGGTCAAACCCAAAAAAGCTGATAGATTAAAACTTGGAGATTGGGCGTTTGCTAAATATAAAAATGGCCGCTTCTACAAGGCCGAAGTAGTAGATGTTGAACCCCATTTATATTATGAAGTGGATTTTAATGATGGATCATATAGTGATAATCTTTTTCCCGAAGATATTGAGGTATGTATGATATACTTATGAAATACCCATTGTGTCCAACTGGCTGGCAGATTGTGTGACTCAATAGCAGTGAGCAGCCATTTATTTGTGTGTAGTAGGCCTGCATACGACACTGATGTGGTGTTTTGTGTTGTAAGAATATTTTAACATATGACTGAAAATAGTTCACCTGCAGTTGAAAGATCTGAATGAATCTTGACTGAATCACAATGTTTTCTCAACCGTTCAATTCAAATTTGCATGAACTTGGATTTTGGGGTTTCTCATTGCAGAGGACATCATAAAACACATTCACTTCTCAAACAGTTGTTGAAAGGACACAGAAATGTGGAGAAATGAGATCATTCAAATCTTAGCTTCATCTCAAAATGCCTAACATGGATGCTCAAAGCTTGAGAAAATTGCAGTTTTTTAATGATCAGAATGCAATCAGATATGCAAATTATATCAAAAATCCTATGGTCCCAGCAGAGAAGTTGTTCAAATTAAAAACATAAATAGGAAAAATTATGTCATGTTATGTTTATTTTGTAGAATTTTGACTGTGTAAATAATGGCCCACCACCAACTGGTACACCTGTGAATATTAAATGGACTGATGGTGATATTTATGGTGCTGTATTTAGAGGTATCAACTGTCAAGATGTCTACACAGTAAGTTACCATTCTCTTAACAAGATTTTAGTTGATTATCAATGTGGCTGATGTCATCGCAATGTTTCACTTTACTATAGATATATACAATTCATTAAAGAGATGTTTTGCTTTATTAAAGAGATACTTATCTTAATTACACCAAAATTTAAAATTGAACGATACTTTGTTAGTCTTTGTCTTAAACCTTGAAAGTTCTGTCTAACATTCAGTCATAATCACTAAACTTAATAAATAAAAAGCTGTTGATAGCCGTGCCTTACCATGCTGCTTCAAAAGATGTTGATTTTGAACAAACTCATCAACTACAGCCTTCAAACAGCTTATTTAGTAAATAACACAAGATATATGGATATACTACTTCTGAGTTTATTACATACTAAGTATATCTTGTGTTATTTATGTTTGCCTTCCTAATTCTATATGTCTTACAAAGAAAAGCTTATTTATTGTAATTTGCCTGGTATAGTAAAACGGAGCCATTTGTTTTAACAGATTGAGTTTGAAGATAGAAGTCAAGTTATAGCTAAAAGAACAGATGTGTGGACAGAAGATGAAGATATTCCTAAACATATCCGAGCTAAAATGGTGAGTTACTCTATTTCAACATCATACTTTTCCCCTTTCAGAGCTTGGAAAGTCAAGGCATAAGAAATTAATTTTTTTGCTGTGTTAAAATTATCATTACTTGTAGTTTTGTGAATTTCTCAGATTATAGAGGAATTCTGAAAAATTAAAAAAAAATTCCTACTAAATATAATTGGTGTAATTTTATTTATTAATAAGATTGCAAAGGCAGTTGACAATTTACATTAATCAATATTGTGGAAACTTTAAGATGGTTATTTTATTCTGTTACAACATTATTTTTCAGTCGACAGCTACAGAAAGAAGATATGATATGTTCTATTCTAATGTTGTACAGGATGCTAGAAGACCTAAACCTAAAGTTTCCTATCGAGCTATGTTAGATGCTATGAAAACAGCTAACAAATAAGGCACAACCTAACTGATACTGACTGTTCAGAACCATATGCATTACACTGCCAGAGCCTGAATAGTTCTGTTTGAAATCTTAATTCTTGTGGTTGTTACTTTTTACATTAATCCTCCTTGCTGTTCAAAGCAAAGATATTTCTGCTCATCTTCAGATTCTAAACATAAAACGAGTAGTCCACTTTATTTTAGGTAGTTTAAGTAGTTATCAACACGATGTAAGTTTAGTCTGCATGGATTATATTACTATCAATTTTACCCTGAAATTAAATGGACTGCTCGTGTTTGTGTTTTGAATCCATTTGCTTGACTATACATCTACGTTGTAAAGCCACAGACCTACAATTATTCAGTTCATTAAGACCTATTTATAACATGAATCATAAAAGACAAGTTATTCAAAACACAAGTGTACTAATTTTGCATTTAATAAGCAAGGCATTATGAAAAGTAGTAGACCTCATTATTAGGTCCATTCTTCTAAAATTTCCCCTAGTTAAAAATTACTTTTCCAAGTACTTGTTATACATTGTTTACAAGGATTTGTTGTAAATATTTTTATTATTGGTAATTTGTTGACATTGAAGATATATTTTCACTCTATTGTATTTATTAATTTTGGGGATTTCTCTCCTTTAAAATAAACAAATTTGCATATTCTTAATAAAATCAATTAAATACTTTAACATTGTTTGATTATATTAAACATGTCCTGAAAATGTAGTAGGACTTTTGTTTTATTTTTAGAATTGAAATTTAAGTGCTATTTAGTTCAGTGAATCAAATATATTTATATTTTATTTATCTTATAAAAATTTAATCCAAAACAGTAATTCATTTTATTAGTAAATGAAGGAAATCTATGCATTTGTCCTTGCACTTTTTTCTGTAAAGTGAATTTCAAAAGTTTTTATGTGCGAATTGGAATTGGTAAATTGAAGTTTCTGATTTTGCGATGAGAATTGGAATCCTGGTTTTAAAACAGTAAATTGTCAAGTTATTCCAAGTAATATCACTACTATTTTGAAGCGGACATTTCAATTTAGAAAAAAATAATCAGTAATATTCAATCCAGAAAGTACAAAGATAATTACTAACATGCCAAATAAGATATCAATACGAATTTGACTGAAAAAGACAATTTGTTTTCAGATTTAATCGGTCCATGTGAACCTTGTAGGGTTTTTGACATCAATATGGTTCATCCTAGAAGCTATGAACAAAACAAATCTAATTGTTTTTAAAATATCAGCATATCAGACCTCTGTTCATATTTTCGCTCTTTGATGCCTATTGAAATATAGAAGGCTAAATTTCTGAAATACTAAATTTGAACATAAAATCAACATTTTTCTTCAACTACATCTTTTCTATAAACTGTGACAAAACAAATCAAATATCATTATAAAAGGCAGCATTCCTATATCTATGTATTTCATTTCTTCCTGATATTGATAGAGTTCCAGTATTTATTTCCAATGACCTTATATTAAAGATATTTTATAAGGCATTTTGCATGTGGATCCTATAGTATATACTAATTGTAATTTTTTGTTTTCAACATTAAATTGTTGCTAAGGTTTTCCTCATTCTTTTCTCATTTTCTCAAAGAGCATGTAAAATATTACTGGAAAGGAGACTAAAATAAGCAGCATTCTGATTTTCGATTCTTCTTTATACCCACAAGGTAATGCACAATGGTGGCGCTCGATTGGTCAATTCTGGTCAGGTTCCGCCTGTGCCAGTTCTGGTTTCATTCGAACGGTACTGAGTATGTCATACTCAAAATTTACCCTTCTCAACTATCTTGAGATCTTTCTATAGGTGTGTTTTTAACTGTACTCCAATAGGAGATGATGTCATAGAGGTGGTTTGCGTATCACATGATACACAACTTTAACAGTTGTAAGAGTGGTTTGTCCAACCAATTGTCCTACTCAAGTCATGCATGTCTTCTATATCACGGCTACGCTGAAGAAAAGGATGGGGGTGGTAAACGTTCACAAAGTTGACCTAACACCAAAACAATATCGTGGACTCGTCCTATATCTGAATTTGAGATCATCGCACGTGATATCGAGGTCAATTTAGAGTTGAAGTTTACAACAATTCAAATCAAACACACAGGTGGACTCTTGAGTTTGATTTCCAGTAATTAATGTATTCTTCAGGCCTACCAAGTGAAAACATTGCCTACAAATAATGTTCTTCGAAAAAAATTATAGTTCTCGACAAAATAACACAACATACGGCAATTATTGTTTTTGTTTTTTTCAATAATACAAGATGTGACTTGTGTGGACAGAGTACATCGGACTACGAACCTTCAACTCTTCACCTCCGGAGGTTCGTATGTGAAATTATTGCTGATTGGTCCAATCTGTCTGCTCCAAAAGTGAAAATGGAGCCCGCTGGATTCGAAATGTTTACGGAAAAGGACGAATGTTTTTGGCTGGTTTTGACTTAATGCTTGGATATTTTTAGATGAAACTTTCACAAATGGTAAGGGATATATTTTTCATGATGGCATGCATATTTTGCAGTCGCCCCAGTCTGTTGGTACGTCAACATTTCTTGTGAGCAGCATGCCAACAGTTTCCATCTGCTTTTTAATAAAATTGGATGTGATCATTTATAGGCTATTGTTGAGATCTTGGATTAGTTCGAATGTGAAGATTTGTGATAAAAGGTTTTTGTGTTGTTCATGTAGTAAAAACGATGAAGTTTTGTTCTTGAGTTCAGTGAAAACTAAAATTGGGCGATTTTAATGAACGTTTTTAGAGTTACCGGTTCTTTCCTTGACTTCGTACAGACTCGTCAAATCTTTAGTGAGCACAGTGCTTCTCATCGGATTTAAATGAAATTAGGTATGATGATTAGATCTTGAATTAGACAGATTTTCGAAAAACTGTTTTGAGTGGGATATCTGTTTGTTCAAAATGTTGAATTTCTATCTATTTTGGTTTGAGCATTTAGAATGATTTACAAGTCGATTCCTTTTGCAATGGACATGTTATTGCTTCATGTATTGAATGACCTTCACAGATTAGGCCTAATCATCATGATGCATGCTGCTTTTTATTTCATCTGAAAACTTAACAAGGTTGCTGTGTTTACCTTGCCTGACAGCTATCATGAAGTATTTCAATTTAAGTAATGTACAATCAACCGACCCTGTTCAATTCTTAATTACAAAATAGTTGGTCGAGTGTGATATGTTTTCTGAGTAATTCATTTGAAATGGTGCCTAGCGCTCGAAAGTTGCAATGACGTATCGACGTGATGCAGGTAGTTTTGATGTCACGTTAATTTCATCGCGTATTTTTCTTGTTGCAAAACTTTAAATATTTGTGAAGATTAGCTTTGAATACAACACCCTGAAACACGTAAGTTGAATTAATTCTTTTCTTTCCTTTATGTGAGCTTGTAGTAGGAGATAAAACGTCCTAAAAAGAGATAATTTAGCGAGCACGCCAGTCAAAACCATCAGATAAGCCCTTTCGTTATTGTGCATGATTATTACAGTCTAATTATAAATAATTATAGCTGCCTAAGATCTTATAGCCTACTTTGTCTCCTTAATGTAGGGTAGCTTGGGTTAATGTAATGGTTACTGTTGCATCCATCTTTCATAAGCTTTCCTCATAATTCCAAAAAATATAATCAGGATACTAGAAAGATGTCGAAGAGGTCCAAATGGTATCTGAGCTCCTTAGACAGGTTTAAGTTAAACGCTTTCCTCATCCGTTTTATTGTTTCACCAGAAATGTTTCTCTTCAAGATTAGAGTTGCAGAAGGCCCCGTTTTACTAATTTCAGAGGCAATGGACTTTGATATAGATGCATTGAATCGGAAGATGAGAATGGTTGATCCAAACGATGTGTTGGATATGAGAGAGCGAACGGCGTCGGCGGAGGAATTAGGTGAACGAGATGATTCGGACAACACTTCTGATGAAGCAACATCACCACCAAAGCAGACCAACAAGTATATTTCTTTGATTACCAAGTACCAGGCTCTGTTTGCTATAATGCCATTCCTGTCTCTACATAGTAACCCATGTTTTCTAAAAGCTGCTAAGGATTTTGTCAAGAGGTTAGCTTTAACATCTCATCTAATAGATCTACGTAAGAAGCTGCCATCAAAAGCTTGTATCACCTGCGACGGTTTTACATCACCAAGTCGTGGTCTATCGCCAGAACGGAAGAAGAAATGGACTCTACCCCTGTGTGATAAAGTTCTTCCGGATTTTTCTACCTTGCAAATATACGAGGACACGATCCACAACTTTAGTTCAATTCGTATTTCCAACGAATCTATTTTTGCGGATGGTGACACTTGCCATAGTTTACCAACGATGCTTCATGCTCCGCAGATCGACGAGGAATGTTACGGTAATTACGTAGATAGACGAGAAGCAGAAGAGACCCTAGTACAGCAGTCAATGGCGGAACAAATCAGCGACTATGTGACATTTCCAGCCGTGACATCGAAGTATAAAAATCGCGAAAATCTTACGTTCCACGACTCGACACCGACTAATGTTTCCAGGCTGCCCATAAAGTATATAAGTCAAAATGTTGGGGTAAAAAAAAAATTTCTCGACCTGAATAGGCTGTACAGACAACGTCAACATCAAAGATATCGAAAGAAGCACATGCAAAGACAATTCTCTATTTTCTACCAACCGACTGCAATCGAAGAAGATCCTGATATAACGATACAAAATACAGTCAATTTCTGTATGAATATGTCATCACCAATTAAATCCGAAAGTTTGAACCAATCTTCAGAAGATTTGTCTGATTAACGTAGCGGTGTGCACCCATTTTGGATATTGATTATAAATGGGACATAACTCGTCTTAAACTAAAGTTAATTCAATGCTCAGCTGTTGTCTTTAGTCAGATCAACAGTTTTGTGTATTACTGTGATTGGTGTTAAGACCCAACTATAAAAAAAATGACCCATTGTGCTTTAAGACTGAGATCCACTGTAATATTTAAACGTAGATCCATTTAAAACTGAGATCAATAGTGCTACAAATCATGCTAGAAAATTAAGACCTAAATATAAACCTGTAAATTTAGATTTATTTAGAAACCTAAATTGATAATATGGTGTTAACAAAAACTGATAACTCATTGAACAAAAGGAGAAGAATTCACTTCTTTTAGACGCTAGTGCATACTCCGCCCATAACACCACTAATCTTTTTAATAAATCTCATTTTATGCTAATGAAAGGACCAGGGTTCATGGTGTAAAAATCGCTATTTTTCGTGGGTAATTGGCAGAAAAATACTTCTATGGTCCCAAATACAAACAAACAAGATCGGTGAATGTGTGTGAAGGTTCATTCAGTCTATAGGGGTCTAATTGTATTTTTTCTCAATGTTAATTCGTGTGTTAAGTGAACTTTATATTAAAAAATGTCAAAACGATTTATATAAAGATGACATGTTCAAGAAGTTTTGGATGAATAACCTCCACACCTCTTTTCGCTGCAATCGCCATTTTTATCAATACAGAGCTTCCCCACAATATATCTTTTCCAAGAAATATGTGGTATAGCACATTATGTTAGCCAGACATAAAGCATGAAGATAGTGTGAACGAATAGATTTTTTTCTCTTAAAAAGTTAAAGGAAGCCTTTGTAGGCCTACCAGCTTTTAAAAACATAAATTTTGACAAAGTTTCGTCTCTATTAGCCAATAACATATTAATTTATATGAATATTATGTAAGTTTTTCCAATAATGTCGATAAATTTAAGTGATTATTGTTTCATGAATCTGTTCAATTTTCAAATGTGTTCCCCTATAACATTGTTATTTATGCCATTCAACTATATATGACGTTTATATTCCCAAATATGCAACGTAAATCAGTCATTGTGACTAATAACGCCACCGATCCGGCGTTAATATTGCCCCGTGATCATTATGCATTGTGCTATTTTCTCATTTGTACTCGGGAGTTTTTAAAGCTGACATAAGAAAGAAATCAATCGGGACCTAGTCGGATATCACAGAGTATACTGTACATGTATATTCATCTTAAAATTGTGTCCATTGTTAGAGCTTTCTGCAAGTTTTACCACAGTTTACATTTTACTTTCACATAAATTTGAAATTAATTGGGTCTTAAATCTGTGGTATCTTTACAAATAACATGATGTTCAAGGTGCTCGTAAAACAGCTGTGTTCCCAGTGGGCCAATTTGTGTATAGAAATAAACCGAACACTATTCTCACTCCCAACCGAGCACAAATAATCATAACCACGGGCCGCTTGTCGCATAAAGCATGCGCTTCTCTAGGCATTGTTATAATTTGGTGAAAGAATGAAATGTCAAAAATTTCTGATGTGCAGTGAAGCTGGTATGCAATTTATCATGTGCATTTATCATATTTGTAAAATGTGTGAAATGAATAGAATTTTGTACTTAAAAATGCTATCCGTTCTGGAAGCAATCTGCACAATATTGTCAAGGCATTAGCCTACGTCTTTATCTTATACATTGACTACAGTGGGCCATTGTATTAAAACAAGTTTGTGATGAAAATTACAGATGAAAACGAGGGCTCTGATTGGTTGCATTCGCTGACTTACACGCCAATCAAATCGCTGATCGTGAAACAAGAAAGTGAGCCACTACAGAAATAAGATGATGCTGGAAATTATAACATTAATATATCTATTTCATTTCGTACGTCTTCCCACAGACTTTGGATAGACGTCTGATTCTGATGGATGCAATTCTTTATGTATTTTTTTCTATACATGTATTTGACTTATGCCTAATTAACACATTACATGAAAGGGCGAATTAGATGTAAGTTAAAGGTAAGAGACTGTAAGAGATAAAGAAAGAAAACACAAAACCTCTTTGATGTTTTATATATAGAAATCATAATTAGCAATTCACCTTAAGTTTCATGTTTTCTGGGAAGGCAAATGACGATGTTACGCAGATGCCGAAGTTCAAGTATATTTCGTTTATAGCTTTTGAGAAGCTTTGTTGCAAATAGCTATTTATTTCCATTTTCGCAAAGACAAAAATAAGAGCTTCGTCTCCTATTGTCGTGCTCTTCTCCGTCAAAAGTGGTTTTCTTGATCACAAATGTTATGTTAATGTAATGCAATTGATATCGTTTCATGCAGTAATAAATATTATTGAAATCACAATTTGAGATGGTCACAAATGGCTTCGTTGATACATGAAAACACATATAACTATCAACCATATGATTTTTTGGAGTAGACAATTAGGCATGACTGTTATTTTTTCTATTGGTGTATTGGGCATGGTACTATTTGTTTTTATAGACCATAATCACAATCCGTCTTTGATACAGGAATACCATTTATTTCTTTAATTAACCCAATTTGCTGTATGTTTCTAACAACAATTATTCAAAGGACGGAAACACCACAGGAATATGCCATACTTGCAAGGCTTTCTATGGTTTGCTTTTCCAGATTTCAAAATATGTCTCTTGGGTTACTCAATAAGTTGTTCTTGATTTGCATCTTTAAGGAACTGTTCTATCTCGGTTTTAGTCAAAACAGTAGCTGCAAAGTTCCAGAGCAGAGGGAAAGGGCAAAGCATCTAGTTGTTCGTATCGTTGAGTTACGGATTATGCACATTAAGGATCTCTTAACATTTAGGAAAAAAAAATGAAATGAAATGAATGGAGTTTTACGTCCTACTTTTCTGCACCATGTGGGCTAATGAAGACGGGCAACGCCATGCAGAGTGCGATGAGGGAAATTTTGTCAGGACAGCGGCATTAGCCTGCTCTTTTTAGATTTCCAACTGTCGAAGGATCTTTAACGTACACGGGGCCTCGGTTTATTGTCCCATCCGAACGACTAGACGCTTTTTCCATGTCAGCCCCTCTTACCTGCATCACTGACAGGGGGAAACCGGGTTGAAAAATCCGAAGGTATTATCTCGATCTATGCCGGGATTGAACCCTGGACCTTCAGGTTAGCGAGCAAGCGTCTAACTCACTAACCACAGCGGCTCCCTTAACATTTAGAAATAGAAAAGGGTAACTTATGACCTTATCTTGGCAAGTTTCTTCCATTGCACACTGCATGATGTAGCCCTTCATCACAAAGAAGAAAGAAACAAGATAGGACATGGATCTAAATTTCACTTTGATTTTTGCAAAGTTTCTTATAATTTTTTTTTAATTTTAGAAATATGTCAAATTTATCATTGAAGAAGAAAAGGGGGGGCGTTTTTAATAAGAAAAGGGACAAACAAAGGAAAATGTGGATGCAGAAAAAGAAAACAGAAATCCAATTCAGATTACAAGATGATGGACACGGGTAATCGAAATCTGGTAAGTTTGATTTTACGCTGCTAGAATGCCAAGCACGACGTTAACATGACGAACCACATACATACATATATACCAGCGATCGCAATCAAACATGGTAGTGAATTTGTCACACTCAATCTCAATCCAACACAATGGTGAGCTTTTCACAATGATACACGATCTCAAGCAAATATACTGAACTAAACACTTATAAATGATCTCAATCAAACATAATACTGTAGGCAACTTTTGTTTACTTATACACACGATCACAATCAAACATGGCAGGACTACTGAAATATTTTACACTTATACTGATGATCTCAATCAAACTTATAGTTCTTAGCTTTTACAGATTGATACATACGATCTCAATCAAACATAGTATTGAATTTTTATAGACTTATACACACGATCTCAATCAAACATAATACTGATTTTTTTACATTTATAAACACGATCTCAATCAAACATAATACTGAATTTTTTATATTTATAAACACGATCTCAATCAAACATAATACTGATTTTTTTTCATTTTTAAACACGATCTCAATCAAACATAATACTGAATTTTTATAGAATTATACACACAATCTCAATCAAACATAATACTGATTTTTTTATATTTATAAACACGATCTCAATCAAACATAATACTGAATTTTTTACATTTATAAACACGATCTCAATCAAACATAATACTGAATTTTTATAGACTTATACACACGATCTCAATCAAACATAATACTGATTTTTTTACATTTATAAACACGATCTCAATCAAACATTATACTGAATTTATTACATTTATAAACACGATCTCAATCAAACATAATACTGAATTTTTATAGACTTATACACACGATCTCAATCAAACATAATACTGATTTTTTATAGACTTATACACACGATCTCAATCAAACATAATACTGATTTTTTTACATTTATAAACACGATCTCAATCAAACATTATACTGAATTTATTACATTTATAAACACGATCTCAATCAAACATAATACTGAATTTTTATAGACTTATACACACGATCTCAATCAAACATAATACTGATTTTTTATAGACTTATACACACGATCTCAATCAAACATAATACTGATTTTTTTACATTTATAAACACGATCTCAATCAAACATTATACTGAATTTATTACATTTATAAACACGATCTCAATCAAACATAATACTGAATTTTTATAGACTTATACACACGATCTCAATCAAACATAATACTGATTTTTTATAGACTTATACACACGATCTCAATCAAACATAATACTGAATTTTTATAGACTTATACACACGATCTCAATCAAACATAATACTGATTTTTTTTACATTTATAAACACGATCTCAATCAAACATAATACTGAATTTTTTACATTTATAAACACGATCTCAATCAAACATAATACTGAATTTTTTACATTTATACAGTATACACACGATCTCAATCAAACATGAACCCCTTATGAAATTTGTACACTTATACAGACGATCTCGATCAAACATGAACCCCTTATGAAATTTTTATACTTATACAGACGATCTCGATCAAACATACTACTGAAATTTTCACATTTATACACATGATCTCAATCAAACATAATACTGAAATTTTCACATTTATACACATGATCTCAATCAAACATAATACTGAAATTTTCACATTTATACACATGATCTCAAACAAACTTACTGAATAATAATATTTTTTACACTTATACACACAAGCAGCAAAACATAATAATGACCTTAAGCACAATATCTCCGACAAATTGACACATATTAAAGTGTTTTTCAATGTATTTGGCTTGAAAAGAACTAATATTTCATTTCAAACTGACCCTCAACTCCCTCATGCCCTTCTAATAGATTTATTAATGATTTTTGGGGCTTCAGGGTCAAACTTATTCATACACAAAACCCATTCTTTTTGTCCAATAAAAGCAATTATTAAATTCATATACATATTCTCAATTTCTGAAAGCCAACACCTATGTATGTGGTTTATTTGAAATGAGAGTGCCCAAAGCAGTAATAAAGATCTTAACAAGTCGAAAAGTGATGAATCAATGCTCCTCACAGCACCCCTTCTCCCTCCTTGTCCAACCTCAAGTGTATTGAAATTTTCCACTGGCTCTAATCAATTCATATAAGATTGATATAACCGCAGGCTAAGTTTAGATTGAAATAGGTTTGTTTCTTCTTGTGAACAGTAAACAGACATGAGCTGAAAACTGTGAAATCTCACTTAGAGATTAAAAAAAAGACTGTTTTGGACTAAAAGATGTACCCATCAGGTTGTATTCTCGCGAATGGAGGTGACTCGTCGCAATAAAGTTATTACTTTTCATCTATTCTAGTTGTTTTAAGTCTTCGGATCATTCAGAAATGCCACAATCACATAAAACGTCTTCTTTCATCATGACTTGTATAAAAAAAGTTCCTTTTGGATTTATGTTTTTGTCGAAATTTTCATAGTATTTCATATTATTTGATGTTTTTCTCGATTCAATGGAATACAATGTATCAACTAATTTTGATTTTCATTTAGAAATTCCTAGACTGTCATCCTTTAAGTAAATATACACGTAGATATTATATAAAAGTCCAATTATAACACACCATTGATATATTGCTATTATATTCTAAATTGATATTGTGACTGTACAACTGTTAACAAGGTGCTATATTGACACAACTTGTTGACCCAGAAAAATCATTCATCTGATATTAATTCATAGATTTATTGACAGTTTACCTGATTAACTAGAATCATCCATTCGTTAAAGACATAGACATCAGGAAGCGAGAACGGAATTAGTCCATCGGATATGAAAGGAATTGGGTTTTTCCATTGAACACTTCCGTACCAAGCTTGTCTTCTTTGCAGGGGAAGAATGTCGTTTTTCAGCTTCTACCATCATCTGAGATTCTGCTTTTCAAACAATTTGCTCAATTGTGGACATTTGGAAATAATCAAAGTGTGGAAACCATCCAATTCTGTAACTATTATTGTCCCTTTTCTAAGCAACCAGTTATAGGTGTTATAGACCAGTGTGCAACAATAAATTTTAGTTGTTAATCTGAATAATTATTTTAGAAATTAAGTTGTAATTTGAATATCACAGAGCAAAAGGTAACTTTAGACAGAAGCTCAATTCGAATAAATAACTTCGGGTTTTTCAACCCAGTTTCCTCCTGTCAGTGATGCAGGTAAAAGGGACCGACTTGGAAAAAGCGTCTAGTCGTTCCGATGGGACATTAAACCGAGGCCCCGTGTGCTACAGGCTCGACAGTTGGAAATCGAAAAAGAGCAAGATGATGCCTCTGTTCTGGCATTCCCTCATTGCACCCTGCATGGCGTTGCCCGTCTTCATTAGCCCACATGGTGCAGAAAAGTAGGGCGTACAACTCCATATTAGGGATAATAGGGTATGACCAAAGAGAAAATATACTCCTAGGGTATGGCACAATGATTTATCTTACTAGTTTCCTTTAAAGACAAATTGGAAATAGAAGATTAAAGTAGGATACCCCCTTTAAGTAAACAAAAAAAAACTTTATAAAGGAATCAATAAAGACATCCATACTGATATGACAATAATTATCTAAACTCTCAAATACCCTCAAGTCAATTCCATTTTCCTTTCATCAAACCGGAAATTGAGAAATCTATTTCTTCAATCTGAAACCAAGCATTTTGAAAGTCAATTATTGGAATCATTAGGATATTATTTGGCGTATTTTTTTCTCCAATTATTTGCATGTAACAGCAAGTTATTAGGCTATAAATTGGTTGGAAAATGATAATCGTTTATGACAACAACTATTAAAGTTGGACTTGCCTGGCTTTGTCACAATATTTTAACGACAATATAGTTACCACTGTATGTCTTTATTTGTGAAGATCTGGTAGTGATGCCTGATGTTTTAGCTACTGTCTACCAGCTGGGAAAGATCCATTTGCACTGTGATTGGAATAATAATCACTTACTGAAGATCATCGGACTTTCTTACAACCACGATTACAATTTACAACTCACGACACTATTCATTCGACGTAACCAATTGAAACTGGCGACATGTAAATATTACAATACTCTTATCGATTAGCTACATCCCGTCCCCTGAAAGTTGTTTAAGTATAAAATTTGACAAATAACAGCTTTGTTCACCAAAGCAATCCAACTTGAAATACGATATAAAATGTCAAAAAAAGAAAAGATTTTCAAGCAATCCATCTTTAATTAAGCTATATTTTTAATTCGTAAAGCGCATCATGCAATAGTAATTATTTTCTTGTATTACGTTAGCGGCCTAATTCTGGTTCTTCTTTTGATCAATATCTGTAATAAAGAAAATTATTGACTACCTAATTTTTTATCTTAGAGTGGCATACTTTAGGTGAATTTATGATTTCAATTACCTTTGACTACATAAGCATTTATTCTCTGAACTTAAATTCTAAGATAGTACAGTGCTCGACAGTTTGACCAGCCCATAAAATGTGAAATTATTAAATTACATATACATGTATGCCATATCTAGTTCTTAACTTCTCAGATAGTTCTATCCCTTTCCTAGTGTTCTCTGCATAACATCGACAGTCCATGATGTGAAATTTTCATATTATACGCCATATATAGTTCTCAGATGGCTCTATCCCTTTCCCTGTGATCTGCGTAACATCGACAGTCCCACCAATCCATAATGTGAAATTTGAATTGTTAGAATTGTATGCCATATCTTGTTCTTAATTTCCTATGGAAAGTTCGAATGTATTTTTTTCTTACTACTTCTTATGTCTCGAATCTATTGGCTACAAACCTGTCATTCTGTATCTGATTTATGAATTACGATAAAAATGAAATTTATAATAAGTGAAACCGGTGTCCTTTGGTATATAACTAAATTGCGTCCTGACAAATTTTCAGCGTAAAATTGCATTTCATTTTTCATGACAAAACCTTTGTTACTTAAAATGAAAGTTACTGATATTACATAATATGATCGTTTGATTATGACTGATTTGTCACAGTATAAAAATAGCCGTATGCTATATACAATTATATACCCTAGTGACATTTTGTGAACTGCTTCAATTAACGTCATAGCTTCTGGAAGTGCGAACTGTTGAATACAGATCTTTTTCTGGTGCGGTGTTGTTTATGAATAGGATGTAAGCTAATTAAAGTTACATTACTCTTTTTCTCAAACATCAATTTCTTTCTCAAAACAGATGCTCGTTACCATTCGACACCTGCCTAATATTGTAACACATGGAGCAAATACATTCGTGATCTGTTTTAAGTCCGGTTCAATCTATCTCCTTTGTACATAAACTAGACTTAAAGTCACTTGTAGTAATTATGTTCAATCAAACATATGCTTTTCTACGTGTTTTTCTATGGGATTGTGCTAGTTAATATCCTATTAGCCCAATCTCGCATTCAGGAAGTAAACAAACATTGCTATGATTATGATGATATGCCAATGACGTAGAATATGATGGAAAGGTGATGTCATGTTCGTCCAACCAGCCCAAAGAAACTATGAC